ATGTCCTGCGACCTGTTTCTCGCCCTCGTTTCATCTGGCCCCAGACGATGATGATTAAGGAGCGGTTTTATGTGATTTTCCATATTTTTGGCGTAGCTTCAGGGCCTAGCTTGGTAAAATTTCTTTATATCTGGTTAGAATTAGATGTTGTGTAGATTAATAAGTTAGTAAACATTTGTGCATATTTGGCATATTTTTTCTGTTCCTGCATATTTGTGTCATTATAAGCGCATATTTTGCATATTTCCTTAAAATAGGCTAAGTATGTCTAAAAGGTTTCATCTTCTTCATAGACTATTTTTGAGCCTTCATTCATTAGAAAGAGTTTGTCACAGCTTGCGTTTGTTTTCTTCTTCTTTTCAATAGATGAAAAAATACTTGTGAAAATGTAGAATAAATTTTGATATCATATTTTTTAAACCAGAGAGAAAAAATGAAGCAAGACGTACTAGGTGAATATTTACTTCAATTATTTCTCCCGCGAAGTAAGGTAGAATATACTAGTATGTTTGCACAAATAGATATCTGCATTCCAAGCATGCTTCTCCTGAATTTTATCAAGAAATGTTTATATATGAAATGAAATATTCTTAATTTTAATTACATATTAAAGTGTATATTTAAGATTTTTAGGCCATAAATTCATATTTTTGAAAGCATATTTCAAGATTTTTAGGGCATAAAAATCCTATCCCTAATTATGGTTATAAGGGGCTCAAGCCTAATGGCAAGAGCGTAGGCACCACTGAGGCCTGGGGTTGATCCCAGCCGATCAATGTGGAATTTCTGATGGACATGGCGTGATCCCGGCAGATTTTCACGACGTTCTCCCGTTTGCCCTCCTCGCATTCCATTGTTGCTCCATTGTTATTCGCCTTAAATAGATAATGATGGGTAGAATTCCCATACTCATTTATGGTTCTTTTACGGCTTCCTGTTTACTGCAGGTGACCGCAGTGGTGGTTTTCCGTAGCATCGACATGTGTGATGGTAGGGTTGATAATCAATGAATGATAATGAAAATATAATGAAGGTTCGGGAGGGTTTTGTAGTGGTATGAGGAGCGTCATAACCCCATTGTGTTGTGGTGCTTACACCGATACGGAACCAACAAACCTTCGGCTCCGCGTAGTTGGTTGATATTCGTAAGCCGATACACCAGCGAGGCAGGCCGACTGCCCCTTACCCGCGTATTTTCCGCCTTGAGTCCTCAGTAGTGTAAGGACGTTCCGATGCTTCTGAAAGTCCCGATTTTCTGTCTCCTGCAGTGAGAAGACGATAAAATGTAGTGTAATCAATTACCAAGTCTTTATTCTTATAACAATTACATTTATTTGTCTTAAGGAAGAGACTGTGAAAAAGCATTATATAAAATTTACAAAATCTTTAAAAAGTTGTTTTCGATGATAGTAGTAACACCGGATCGATACCAAAATGGGTGATACGCAATAAATGAACGATTACTAACTACAAGGGTGCTTCTTCATAATAAAGATGTATAACATAAATAAAACCGAGAAGGAAATATCCCTGGTCTATTTTAATTTGTTGTATTCAAATGTTTCTTGCGAAGTGCAACAATGGAGTAGACCAAAGAATTCAAGAATTCCTTATTGTTACAGATAAGACCTATTATTGTCCACTTGCGGTAGTGACATACATAGAAACAAGGTGAAAAAACTTATTGTTAATCTTTGAATGCAACTTCGTAACGTTGTCTCGATGATGAACCCATACCTTCTCTAGGTTAATAACCGAGTCGTTCCTTGCTGAAGTAGCGTTTTCGTGCCTGTTTGAATACAGACAGTATATGCTTGAGGATCCGGACCTTCAGAAACAAGGGAAGCCATCTTCTACGAGCAATAGGGCATGTCAAATTTGCTCTGCGCAATTACTTTCAGCTCAAGTAAGTAGTTTGAGCAATGGTTTTCTCTGGCAGCTACAGTGCCACAGCACTACATACTTTTACTACATGAAAACACCAACACACTTGGATATGAATGTTCAACTGTGCTGTACTAATTGATACATCGATCTGCTGTGAGAGCTGTTCTACTAATTGGAATGTCCGACGCGGCGAGTGTTGAGTTCCTCAGGTTGTCAATCCCCTCCCCCGCCCACGAATCTTTTGTCTCCGGCGTCTCCGGTTCCCAACTTAGCGTGATGTTATCGCAGACATTGATACGAGTCCGTTCCAGGAGCACAGGCCTGTCCGCGTGTGCGGAGAATCGAATAATAATACAAAGTTATTAGTATTCAATACAATTAATGAAATCTTTGTCCAAGATTGTAATCCATGTAAACATTGTAGTCGATTCTTCTTACAGAACAACTCGCTATAAGACCATAAATCAATATCGAGAACCTCGAGAAACTATACGAAGAAATATGTTTTACATTTTAAACCAACTCACAATAGTATTACAATGCCGCGTATATTGTAGTACAGATTCGAAATATTGACTGTTTGGGTTTCCAAAAATTCTTTTATCTACAAATGCAATTTCTCTTAAAATTGTGCGAGGCTTTCTGTCAATTCTTCTGTCAATGAAGTTTTACTCCCGCCCGAAGCCTCCGCACTTTCTTGCAACGTTAAACCCGCGATGGCACAGAGATTTGCATGACGCATCGGCCATGGATCCCTTGCGTTAACCTTCATTTCCCGTTACGCAATCCAAGGCGGCACGATAAACTTTCAGGAGCACGAGCGTACTGAACAAAATGGAATTCCCCAAACTGATCCTGTTCGTTACGTGATATGTTTGCAACGAGAACTAGTATAAAAAACACACCAGAATGCAATTCACATTCATTGTGGTTTTTTAGAAGTTGTAACTGGAAATTGATACGGTCTGAACTGAACCCAAACATTCTCAAATCAACGTTGTTGGTGTATAAAAATTAGTTTTTCAGCATTAAATCAAAGAAAAATAATAAATGACATTGACGATGTAAAATTATTTAAGACATTTTATCACATTGTACTATTTAATCATGATAGATAATCTCCAAGAAACGATACTATCGTTGGGATCCATTTTCTCCTGCGCGATTAGATACCTTCGCAGGGAACGCTGTGCTGCGGACACCTTTCGTATTTGGGGAAACAGTAAAGAAAATATTTTTGTGTCTGCATTTGTGTTTAGATGTGATCTTATAGCGGAAACAAAACATTTTAGTCTTTAGTTGTCATGTCGGAAATGTTAGCATCCGTAGACATGTTCTAATAACTGTTAAATATAACAGGTTGATTCAACGTTTCTCCAGTTCTTCCTTGCAAATGAAGACCTTCTTTAAAGTAAGAAATTCGTTGTAGTTGACACAATGAGCAATTTTTATGTAATTACCACGTGACCGGAAGTGAAGGAAAGCTACTAGCCTTCCGGCCTTCGGACACAGAGACGCGGCTTCTTTTCCGTCCAAATTATAAATACGAACCTAGGGACCTTGGAAATCTAAAAGAAACAAGAATTTCAGGGAGTCGAAGGAAAAAAATACTAAAAGCGGTCCAAAGGGGGAGTTTCTTTATTTGTAATTGTATATTTAACTATTAACATTGATTTACATTTGTCATCATATTCATTTATTTCGTACTAGTACAAGGAGTTTGTTGGAAAATACATGTTATGTATATATTGAGTGAATTGCCGTATGAAAAGTTGAGCGTGCTGAATAACGACGGAACGCGGCTTTGCTCGCTCACGAGCTTTGCTCCGGCGAGGGTAGCAGGAAACACGTCTACCTACGTTCGAGGTATGCGCGCACCGCCGGTCTCACCGGGTCACCGATCGCCCCAACTTCTAGTTTCGACTCGCGCCCCCTCGTGAGATCGACAATGACAGCTTGAAACGTTTGTCCGGACCAAACACGCGGAACATTTATCCCTGAAACTCATGACCTGGGATACCTGCATGCAATACGAGTTCGTACCTGCCCTGGTTGGCGTGTTGGAGGGCTAGGTGTCGCAGGAGAACACGTTATCTTGGCTTGAATCTAGCGTCTCTGCTCTAAAATATCGAGGAAAGAATTATGTGGGTGTACTACAAGAAAACAAGTAAAAGATAATTATGAAATATCAATGTGTTTTGAGGCAATAATCGAATAAATAAATAAATAAAAAATGTTATTAAGAAACTTGGAAGGTATGACAAAACGTATGATTGAATTTGTGAAAAGAGCAACGCTTGCGGACCTGAAACCACGTGGAGTACTCGGAGAAGGCCAAGAGGGGCTGGAAAGATTCCATTCCGTCCGGTACCTTTCGGCCGCGCTACGCTACCATGCGAAGACAAAGTTATTTGGTTATTTTTCTTCTTCGTCTTCTTTTTTCTTTTATTCTTCTTTTTCCTTTTCTACTTCTTGCTTTTATTCTTCTTCCTTTTCTTATATATTTTTGTTATCTCTCTTTTTTACCGCTGTTATTTCTTTCTTCTTCTTCTTTATTATTATTATTATTATTATTATTATTATTATTATTATTATTATTATTATTATTATTATATTTTTTACTCTTGTGCTTTTTTCTTTGTCATTTCTCTTGTTTTTTCTCTCATTGTCTCCTTTACCATATCCTCATCCTTCTCTCGTCTTGTCTTTTTATTTCCTTTTAGTTTTGTGTCTATTTTATTCCTCTTGAATGAGTTCTTTTCTTCAGTGTTCTTTGACTTTTGTGCTTAGGAGCAAGCGCGTGCGTGAGCCAGAGGAAGTGCCCGTTGCGTGGCCGTTGCCTCTACACACGCCGTCGCGACGCGTCGGAGCAAAAGCGGCGACTTCGTCAACGTCGTCGTTTCAAATTGCCTGCTTCGTTTTCGACTTTTTTACATTCGCTTGTCTCATAAGTATGCAGTTTACATCCTGTTGCAGTTGTTTTGTTGTTGTTGTTGTTGTTGTTGTTGATGTCCATGTTGATGATAATCATGATGACGATGACGATGATGGTGGTAAGTTTCCGGAGTAAATACCACTATTTTCCGGAGTAAATGTCACAATTATATGTGGCAGGCACTACACAAATAGGCTGATACCAATGATTTAAATTTAAACCTGCAAAAAGATTTATAATGCAATAGACGGTGTTTCGTTGGGCTAGGAAAATGGCCAGATGCGAAAAGAATCAAGGAGTTCCGAGCACCATCTAACACCCCTCGTCCCCCGCCGTCCTTCCTCTTCTTTGAATGTCTGAATGGGCAGGCGCTCTCATCCTTAAGTCTTCACCTCCATGGCTCTCTATTCAGCGCTTATCCTTTCTCCTCCCTCTCCTTCAAATCCTCTGTCGCTTTGACCATCCATCTCACTTAGGTCTTCATCGTTTTCTCTTTCCTGTCACTAACAGGTGCTCAGCTCTGTTTCCAACATATTCCAATGGCGTCGCCGAGATCGACCGATTTGTGGGGGAGAAGGCCCTGCGCTTCAGTATTACGAGAACACGGCAATGCAGATATTGAATCAGCGCTATTCATTCCTCTCTTTTTTAACCTTTATAGGCTCGTACGTATAAGTCATTACGTGGTATGAGAAATGCTAATTAGGTTCGTTATCTTCGATTTCTGTTTTTATGTGCTATTTATTCTTGTAACAGTAGTAATGTATGCTCTAATCTCTTTCCTTGCTACACCACTGAAATTCCCTTCCAACAGGACACCAGATGATCTCGGTCTGCTCTTTTGGAACTTTTTGTTTGTTGATCCACGCGTAGAAACAGGATTTGTAATTACGGACGCAGTTACACACTCATTTTATCTTCTTGAGATTCTCGAAGCAGTAAAACGATGATAATCTAGAATTCTATAGCTTCACAGCAACTAAGAGCCAAACGGACTAAAACAATGCATTAAAAGAGTATTTCTGTTTTTTTTAGTGTGACAATTGCGAAGACAATGTTCGAGATGTTTATGAGTGAGTGAATCGTTAGCAGTCAAAACAGTAATTTTGGAATGACTGTGAAGAAATTGAAAATGGTGTTTCTGATATAGACGAGGAAGGTTTGTGGAATGACGATATTGGAATGACGATATTGCCTACGTTAAACATCTTGATATAACAATGTAAACAAATGGTCATTTAAAGACAAATGAAAATATAGTAGTTTAAACCCAGTAACGTATGAAAGTGTATGAAATCCAGTAACTCGTAGGCAGACGTCGCCTGCACAAATTCCAGCATATGAGTACCGGAGTAATAAGATTCAAGAGCTTAAATTCTCAACAAAAAATGCAAATAACGATCCTAACTCATTACCATAATGCATCATCGTTCCCTCTACTGTTATTTCATAATCTTATAGCTCTTATTTTAGGACTTTCAGGATTTAGTACAGACTAAATCACGTTGAGTGAAAAATTGTGTTCAAGGAATGCGTTTGAAAAGAGGTCCCAAAATATATCGAGATACCTCTTTGGAACGGACGTAGTATATGAAAGTACATCGCATAAAAAGCGTACCGGCAGTTCTTGTAGGAAAGGGGCCGCTTGAAGCTTCCAAAAATCAATACGGGCGGAGGACGAGAGGGCTCATAAGGACATGTCCCCTAATTAAGGGGCCGCCTCCCCCGCCCCCTCACGCCCGCCG